TATGTGCTCCAGCCTTGCGATGGGGCAGCTGGGGGGCTGGAAAGCCAGCGCAGACTCTGGGGAGGGGAAGCCCTGAGCCTCAGGAGCTGGATCCAGGCAAGCCAGGGGCTGCATCTGGCCTCTGGGCCTTTAGTTTCCCACCCCTTCTCTAGCCACCTCGCTTCCCAATCCCAGTCCCTGGAATTCACCAAAGCCTTGTATCGAGAATCCCATCTGTCCTCTTTCTTCACCCCTGCGTTTTCCTGACCTTCGTGTTGGGACCACAGGATACTTGTACCACCACCACATGGTTCCAATGCCACGTTAGCATCTCTCCTGTTCTTTTGAACGTACCTGCCCCTCACCGATGCCTCCTGAATGGAGTCGAAACGTGTTTGATGCACGCCCATGCTCTCGTGCGGGAAGGCTGGATTCCAAGGAACTGTCTGCAGCCAAGGGCTCTGCTGCCACTTCCAACCAGCGATTGGCCTGGATAATTGAGTTGGAAGAAATTGTCTTTCTCCCAAAGGGGGATTTTTTCCCCTTCCCCGTGTTGAACAGGCGCCTATTCAGAGGGGATTTCTGGGTCCACAGTGGCACCAGACTAGAATGTGAAACATTCAGAAGTACCGAGAGATCCCAGCATCTAGTGGCTAGTTCATGCAGGTGCTTCCCAAAAGGCCTCACTTTTAGTGGTTCAGAACCCAGGAATGGTGCAAAGAACATGCTACACTCCCTAGGCACGTGGTATCAGCCATGCCAGATGACCATCTTTCCTTCAGCAGTGGCCAATATTCTACGCTTCAGAGCTAGGAACAACCACCTAGGTAGCCAGTTCTGCTCTTTTGGTGGTAGCTGGGTGGGGATGGAGGGGAAGAAAATGTTCTTCCTGGTCCCTGAGACAATAGACTAGGGTTTCCCAACCTATGGGTCAGGACCCAAATATGGGTGGCCATTACATTTCAAAAGGGCCACCAAGTGTCTCCCCAGGTGGCTCTGCCCCCCCTCCCCCCACTTCCCTCTGTTTTTGAATGGCCTTGGGTCACCAAGTCTTTCTGAATAGTCAGAATGGGGTCCCCATCTGGAAAAGGTTGGGAACTGCTGCAATAGAAGCATGAGACTTGTGTCCTCCTCTGTTCTCTTGGCTTGCGGAGTTACAGATATTTATTGGTCACAAAGTCGTCCAGCCTTTCGCAAATTGATCTGCAGCATTTGTCTCTGACCTACTGCCACCAAGAATTACTCAGGTCAGCTCTGCTCTTTGCGAGGGATTCCTAATGGGGTTGGTCCCATGGTCTGTTTCTTTCCAGGAGGGTGATGCAGCCTACCCCCAAACAAAAACCAACTACAGTGTCTCGTCTCCCCTGTGTAGAGCAAGCAAAGAAAGTCCTTCCCCCACCTGGGATACACCACAAGTTTGCAGCTATTGCAGTAGTATTTGCCCTCTTTCAAATTTTCCCCTACCAGACTTCTGTTGCTGCCTTTCCTTCTTTTTTCATATCCAGTGACTAGCCTTTCTTAGGTTGCCTAGTCCCTGGTCTGCTTCTGCCCCTTGCAAAGGGCTAAGATGGGGCTAACTAGGGGATTTGTGGGACCTCATTTGATAGCATGTCCCAGGCTATGTCTAGCCTGCAGGCTTCTTTCGGAAGAAGCTTTTCCGGAAGAGATCTTCCGAAAAAACGTCTTCCAAAAGAGAGAGCATCCACACTGCCAAAGCGCATCGAAAAAGCAATCTGCTCTTTCAAAAGATAGTGCCTACACTGAATGGATGCTAGCTCGCATTTAAGCTGGGATTACTATGGACAGAGTGGCCACCAGGGCACCTGTGCTTTTTCCTCTTTCCTCTTCTTTTGAAAGAACTCCCTCTTCCCTGTCCACGCATGCCTGTTCCCAAAAGAACTCTTTTGGAAAAAGGAGTCTTCCACAAAGAGAGATGTACAGTGTCAGAAAAACCTCTCTGTTCTTTCAATTTTTTTTCGAAAGAACGCAATTGCAGTGTGGATGTAAGTTAAGTTTTTTTTGAAAAATGGCCGTTTTTCCAGGAAAAACTCTGTAGTGTAGACATAGCCCCAGTCTCCCTCACCTGCTTTTCCCTTCCACGAGGCTCCCACTGCCCCTGTGTAATAAAGCCATTATGTGGAGCAGCCCTGATAAGTAAAATGGTGCATAGTAGAGATGCTAATAGGGTTGCCAGCTGTCCGGTATTGACCTGGACAGTCTGGTATTTTTGCCTCCTGTCTGGTTAAAAAAAATTCAGACTACTGGACACCTGAAATGTCTGGTATTTTCAGGCAGGGAAAGTAGGGTTGCCAGCTGTCCGGTTTTCACCCGGACTGTCCATTATTCAGGTCCCCCATCTGGTTAAAAAAAAAAGAAAATACCGGACGTGTACAATGTCTGGTATCTCCTGTTTCCCTCAGACGGAAGCCTGGTGAGGACAATTTTCCTCTGCTCCATCAAGCAGGGGCAGGGGAGGAGGAGCACGGGGCCATTTAAAGGCATAGTGCCCCCTTTTTTTTCTCAACAGAATTTTTTCCCTGCTGTCTTTTTTTTGGGGAGGGGGGGGGGGAATGAGGAGGAGTGTTTGGTATTTTTGGTTGAACCATCTGGCAATCCTAGATGCCAAGCAGGCCCCAGCTCCACACCAAACCTGACTGGGGCATTCAGAACCCAACTGAATCCCTCATGAACTGAGAGCTCAGCAAGGCTTATTCTGCTGGCAGCTGAGGGGAGGGTGCAAGTTTCTGTTTTGCTGTTTCTCCTGGTGTTTGTTTTATGGTGCAGGGCCCTTATTTACTGGCTGGCGATGAGTGTAACGTGGTTGGGTCTTTCTCTGGGAGTTCCAGTGAGATGTGCCTGCCACTCCACTGATCTGCTGCTTGGCCCTGCTGGCCACGTCCGTGTGACGTGGTGGAGACGCTGTGTTGAGACCTTCCAGGTCACAGTATCGAAGCTGTGCGTGGTGCAGGGTGCGCTGGTGGGCATACTCCTTGGGCTCTGTGTCTTTATGGACCAGGTGTATGGGCCCTGCCCTGCTGCGTGTGAAATTCTGTTGGCATTCTGTCAAGGCCTTTTACAGTGATATGAACTCTCTGTGAAGGCCCTGTTGTCGAGACCCATAACTATCCCGCAAAGATTTGTGAGCACAGCCCTAATGGCGCCTCCTCAAAGCACCGTGTACTGAGGTGGACCTCCTTTGATGGAGCAGTTAATTGTTTGGTCCTAGGCAATGATTTTATGAATCACACCTGTAGGCCCAGAAGGGTAGAGATTTTCCACAAGTATGTGCAATGATGCCACTAGACTGCCTAGAATAGTGGTCCTCAGCCAGGGGTACACATGTCCCTGGGGGTACATCATCAGCTCATCTGGATATTCACCTGGTTTCACAATAGGCTACATAAAAATGAAGCCAGTACAAACTAAAACGTCATACTGTGGCTTGCTTGTATTGCTCTATGGGCCATACTCTGAAACATAAGTGTAGTATATTCCAGATGATTTATTTTATAATTACAGTGTGAAATGAGTCAGTCAGCAATTTGTCAGTCGCAGCATGCTGGGATACTTCTGTATTTTTTATGTCTGATTTTGTACGCAAGTCGTTTTAAGTGAGATGAAATGTGGGGTACGCAGGGCAAACCAGACTCCTGAAAGGTGTGCAGTAGTCTAGAAAGTTGAGACCTGCTGATCTAGAAGTACAGACTATACATGTTCTTGAGCCTTTCCAAAATAATCTGTCACAATTTAGGGCAACTGTACCTATATTTCCCCCTCTGTGGTCTGCCAAGAACACCCGCTGTTAGGGTTCTCACTCTCCAGCTGTTACCTCACTTGGGTGGAGTTGAGTCTTTCTTGCTGTTGACCAGGGTATTTCCAGCCAGCCCAGTTCCTTATCTACTCTGTGAATTCCCCAGCAAGTCAGACTGCCTAAGCAAGCCCAGTTCGCTTCCCTTCCTCAGAGAAACGTAGCTGCCCACAGTTAAGTTACAATAGTTCTTCCTACGCAAGCGTATTTATTCTTAAGGTAAAAGCATCCGAGGGAAAACATTTAAAACAATCTAAGACTCTACTGGCATATTCATAAGCTTACCAGAGATCCCAGCTCCAACAGGGCTCTGGCAGCTGATCAGTCTGTCAAACGCTGCCAAGGGGGTTCTCTGGGATCACAAGTTCATAACAGCTCAGAACAAACACCCCCAAGAACAGGCCAAGTTCTTCTAACCTGTGCCAGGAAGGGTTGGGGCCCCCCTTAGGATAAAAGCTTCTATTTGCTGGGTCTAAAAGCAGGGCCTGAGTCAGTTTTTAGGCTGTTTATCCAAGGGCCTTTTGTTGTCAGTTGGCTTGCTAGGGCAGTGTTTCTCAACCAGTGGTATGAGTACCCTCAGGGGTACTTGAGAGACGTCTGGGGGGAGTATGTCAATTCAACTGAAATTATATGGCGCTTTGTTATTTTTGTACTTTTTTTATACCCAAAAATTTCATTGCTTGCCCAGCTATGATTGTTTAAACAAATGTGTTGCAATGATAGAAAAACATTTTGTGTCTGAAAACTGTAGGTACTGGGGGTACTTATACTTTTTTTTTTTTTGAAAAAGGGGTACTTTATAAAAAAAAAATGGTTGAGAAACACTGCGCGAGAGAATATGGTTTGAACCACAATATGTGAGTCTCTCCAGTGTTGTAACACCCACCTCCCAAGAGGTACCAAGTGAATTTGCTTAATCACTCCCCAACTGTCCTAGCATGTGAGGGGCTGTGGTCTCCCTCCCCCAGGGACGGCCATACAATCCCTGGGCCATAATTGCTATAGGCATTTAGCACAGTAAGCTCTCCCAAAGCTATTGGAGGAAACTGATGCGTATGCCACAATCTACGTGCTGTTCCTAAAAGCATGCAGAGTGGAGTGGGAAGCTCCCTTGGCCTTGCTGCAATCTCAGGGAAAGCATCTGACGAAAAAACAGTTCTGATGCCAGCAAAACTGAATGGAAATGTGTGTTTGTTTGTCTTGTGTCTCCTAGATGGACCTGTCCCATCGATTTTCCAGGCAAGAGGTACGAGTCTGGCATAATCAGTGGAGTATTGGTAGAAGCCCTGGATACGGCTGTTCTTTTCTCCATCCATCTGGACAGGCAGTGGCAATGCATACAGGTTCTGTCCTCACTGGGTACTAGTTGTCCATAGAGATTGCCAACAAAGAGGCTAATTAGTGGCAATTGCAGCTAGCTGACAAAACTCCTAGAACAAGGTTTGACGAGATTAACGTCCAGTCCCTACCAGCCTGCTCCAGCTTCAGACAGCCTCAGCTTTTCCTGGCAGCAAAACTCAGGAAGCGCATTGCTGTGCAACCTGCCAATCATCTGCAGACATCTGCATGTCTGAAAGCAAGTGTTGGCTGATGCCAAAAGGGGGTGTGTCCAGGCTTGATTTGAGGCATGGGATAACATAGGAGCTTTCTAGACAGTAAGCCCTGCTGCGCATTCTGGGCAGCAGATGTTGTTTGGAGAAGAACAGGTTTCCCCTTGTGCTTTGTGGAGGAAAATCTTGACTAGTACAACACGTATGTCCCTGCCCAGAGCAAAGCCCTCATTCCCAGGCTGTCGGCTAGCTCACGCACTGCACTGTCTAGCAGAGGAGCTGGCTGTGACCTGTCACCCCCTTGTCCTGCAGCTCAACCTCTTGTACGAGGAGGTTCTCTACACCATTGTGCACCGCCTGGGCACGCCTGAACCCGACCATGTTGCTGACGCTGATGAATTGTATGAGTACACGCAAAAGGTCAGTCCCTGGGCCCAAGTCCTGCACATCCTGAAGCACCTTGAAACCCTGTCCTGTCATCAAGGATCCTCTAGCCCGGAAACCCCTCAGATTATGTCTACACTGTGGTTTTTTAGCGGAAGAGGATATGCAAATGATACACTCATTTGTGTGTCTTCCAATTGCTTTTGTGAAAGAGGTTTTGCCGCTAAAAAGCCCCATGTAGATGGGGCCATTTGTTGGGGGGGGGGGAAAAACCCTTTTTTTGCAATATCCTGTAAACCTTGATTTTTGAAGAATAAGGGATCTTGCAATAAAAGGGTTCCCCCCTCCCCCAACAAATGGCCCCGTCTACATGAGGCTTTTTAGTGGCAAAACCTTTTCCGAAAAAAGAATCAGAAGAAGATATGCAAATGAGCATGTAATTTGCATATCCTCTTCTGCAAAAAACCTGCAGTGTAGCTATAGCCTCAGTCTCACATTGGGAAGAGGCCCCCTGCAGCCCCAGCTCTGGGGTTCCCATGAGAGAAAGTTCTTCTGCCCATGTCTGGGACGCTGGCAGCCGCAAGTGGCCAGGGCTGCTCTCCAGAGCAGAAGTGAGACATGAACTTCTCTGAGCTCCTGCACGTGGGGGCGGGGAGGGGGGGGTCTGTTGGACACAGACATGAGTCACAGTCCCAGCAGCAGGCAGCAGCACTGGGCAATGCTGAGTCACACCGAGCAGGGTCACAGGAGGGTCAGGTACCTGGGAGTGGGAAGGAAAGATCTGTCCACCGGAAGGAGAAGGGCAGCAGAGTCTGCCCACGGTCGGGGACAGAAGTGGAGCAGTCTGGCCGCCAGGAAGCCTTTGTCCGGGGGAGGTTTGGAATTCTGCCTGGACTGCGCCCAAGTGTTCACGAATCTGGGTCCTGGTTAGGCTTAATCTGAGCTGTTCTCTCCTTTCCCATCAAACCCTTCCTGAGAGCCATCTGGCTCCCAGAGGAAGGGAGGGGGTGGCTCCAGAGGGGAAGCCCTTGGATGTATCCCAAGTACTGTTGTTATAAAACCAACCCTATTATCTTCTTTAATATTAAAACAGGCCTTCAGCATGGAGCCAGAGGAGCATCACATTATACTGCAGCGGGTCCAAAAGTTTGAGGTAAAGTCTGGACTTCTTTCCAGTTCACATTACCCAGAATTTGTGCAGGTTACTTCCTGCTGTGGGCCCTAGCCCAGGTAAAACTCCCACTGAGCTCAGCAGGGTCAGCTTGTGCATGTGTATGAATGTGTGATTATTACAGGAGTCCTGCCTTCATTTGTTCTCACCCCAGGGAAGTGCATCTGTTACAAGAACTCAAGGTATTCCCTGTTCTATGGGGTGGTGCCATGGCCATGTGTATCTATTTCCTGCGCATGTAACCCACACACCTACTGCGAGTGGTTTGCTGTCCTGTGGAGTGGCACTTAGACCACTTATAGCAGTGGTCCCCAACCTTTTGGGGCTGCCGGGCGCCCATATGCTGAGTGCCCGGTGCCAGAGCCACCCATGCGCTGCACTCCCGGGACCAGCGCCGCTCCTGTGCTGCACGTCCAGGGGTGGGGCTGCCCATACGCCACGCGCCCGGGTCCGCCGCTCCTGTGCTGTGTGCCCCGGGGCGGGGACGCCCATGTGCTGCGCTGCAGGGCTGGTGCCGCCCCTGTGCCACGTGCCCGGGGGGGGGCTGGCCCCAATCACTCAGCGAGCGCAAAGAAATGGCCCGGCGGGCGCCATGGCACCCGCAGGCACTGCGTTGGGGACCACTGACTTACAGAGAGAATGAGTTTGCTTTACAGCCTCACCTGAGCATCAGCTGGCTTTATAGCTCAAGCTGTAGAGACTCACACACTGTGCTCTAGAAGTCCTAGGTTTGGTTTCACCTCTTGGTGCTACACACGTTACTAACGCAGTGCTTTGGTTTTATGGAATAATATACAGGCTAGGTCTATGCCAGAGGACTGGTCAATATGGATATCCACAAGGACTGATCCTAAATTCTGTGTCCTATTTATTTAATGGTAGGACAACGGCTGGTTAGCTAATGCTTGCATGGATTAGCTGTGGTCCAAGCTTGTCCTTTGATACTGTCAGTCATTGCTATAAATCCAGATTAAACCCCTGTGCTTTGGGGAGTAAGGAGGGGACCCAGCCAGCTGAGTAGGTGACTTATATGGGATGAGTCCCGATCCATTAACCTTTGTCCCCTCTGCAAAGTCTGTGGGGTTGAAAGAGCAGTTATGAGAGCGGAGAGGAGCGAGCCCGAGGGTGTGACTGCATAGGAACTGGAGGTGAGATTTCCAGCTCAAGAGGTGTTTCTGCACCAGAAGTGTAGCTATGGCAGCAGTGCAGGTGGCAGGATGAACTGGCTGCCCACATACAAACCCGCCTGAAACTTTAGCCCAGTGTTCCTCAACCTTTTTTTAAGAAAGTACCTCTTTTTCAACAAAAAAAAAAAGTACCCCCAGTACCTACAGTTTTCAGACGCACACATTTTTTTTCTACCATTGCAACACATTAGTTTAAACAACTTAATCGTAGCTGGGCAGGTGGTGACATTTTTGGGTGTAAAAAGTACAAAAATAATAAAGCGCTGTAAAACGTATAAGAAAATTTCAGTTTTCTTCACATTTCAGTTGCCTTGATGTACTCCCTGGACTTCTCTCCAGTACCCCTGGTTGAGAAACATTGCTCTAGCCCATCCCAGTGGCCATGCTGCGGCAGCTAATGTCTATCTTTAGCCAGCTGTCTCAATCAGAGCTAGCGAGAGTATGTCTCTGTGATGGAGCAGCCACTGAACCAATGGGACCTATGCCCAGAAAATTGCACACACACCCCCCAACACACGTAGACTCACTCGACCCACCTGGCATTTCTGCCTGGGAACTGAGGGAAGACCTCGCTCGCTGACCCTGCTCCCCAGCAGGAGAGACAGGAGGGACTGCAGGCCAAAGGGGTGGGGAGGGGCATCCCACTTTCTCAGGCCCAGGGCCCCTCCATCTCTGGTATGTCTGCCTGAGCTGGAAATTACACCCACATCGCCAGTGTAGACATACCTGTCGCAGCATGATCCCACCTCTCAGTGGTCCTTGGTGGAATTACAGAATGCAGCCTGCTGGCCAACCTGGCCTGGAGCTCAGTGACTGTGAACAATATTTCCAATAAATCCTTTATCCTCAGATGCTTTCTTTGGCCTTGCACACTCTACAGCTTTTTCCATGGGTCTCATGGCTGGAAAAGGTGACTGAGCAGCAGCTTCCTCATTAGTCCCTCGGAAGTTCAGTGACTAATTTGTTCCCCTTGGTGCAGTGGTGGGAGAGAAGCTTTCCCTGGAGCTCAGTGACTGTGAACAATATTTCCAATAAATCCTTTATCCTCAGATGCTTTCTTTGGCCTTGCACACTCTACAGCTTTTTCCATGGGTCTCATGGCTGGAAAAGGTGACTGAGCAGCAGCTTCCTCATTAGTCCCTCGGAAGTTCAGTGACTAATTTGTTCCCCTTGGTGCAGTGGTGGGAGAGAAGCTTTCAGGGCTCAGAAGCCATTGAAATCTTTGTTGGTTGGGTTTGGTCTTTGTTTTTGGAGACTATTTTGCCACCTCTCTCAGCACTGACCTCGTATAGCAAAACGAAATAGAGTCATGCAGGGATCTGTCCGTCTGCAGCTTTCCAGTCGTATCCTTAAAAGGGGCCCCGTTAGCATCTGCGCACATTGTAACCCTCGGCCAAACTTTGGTCTTCATGATGCATGCAGTCTGAGATCTACTGTGGGCTAGTGGTTGAAGGGGCCTGGCAGGATAACAGGCCAGGATGCAGTGCCAGAAAAGCAGGGCTCTGCTTATTTAATTGTGCATGTGACAGCACAAAGCGAGGTCAGTTTCATCACTTAGTCAATGGTCTACACTGCTCTGAAGGGACGGCTGTCCATGATCTCCCCCTGGGAGGGGAGGGCTTGGCGAGAGGGGATTGCCATAAAAGCTGAGTTGGAAATGGCAGCAGGCAGATGTGCAGTGAGAGGAAGGAAGGGGAGAGTGATGCTTGATGTTTTCCTTAAACTCGGAGCTGCTAGAGCCAGGTTATTTAGTGCAAATCAGCTTTCATTGTTTTAAAGTGAGTGTCAAGTCCTCCTTGTTGTGGAGAAATGTGACCTGAGTGCTCCATAGAAGCTGAAAAACCAGAAGGCAAAAAAAACCACCCACACCCCAACCTCCCACGTTTATTATTTTAAAAGATCATTTATCAGCCATTGCTTGTGATTTTTTGGGGGCTGATATTTGAGTGCGTGGGGATGGCAATATTGGAACTATGTGTACTGTTTCCACATGGGCTTTACAAATGCATCTCAAGCACGTTCACTTCTGTGTGTGATGGAAATTTTTTTCCCTTCAGGTTAGTTGAGTTGTTTGATTTGCTTTAATTCCAGAAACCAATTTTTTGTCTGAAAGTGACTGTGAAGCAAGCCAAAGGCATTCTGGGTAAAGATGTCAGTGGTAAGTGTGAATAAATGTTCGACGTACAGATATATGTACCTACCTGGTCAGAGGAGGTTGGAGTGCTGGGTTCTGTTCTCACATCTCCTGCTGCATCGGTATGTTTGACCTGAGGTAAGGTAGTTACCCATCGGTGCCTCAGTTTCCCTAATTGTCCACGCCCCCAAGAGGCAGGCTGGCTATTGACAAAAGGCTGGCGGTTGCCTTTTGTCACAATAGATATTTCTGTTGGAGGAACTGTGTTTTGATGTCTTGTGGTTGTAGGGTTCAGCGACCCATACTGCCTGCTGGGGATAGAATCAAAGAGGCAGGAGCCTTCCGGTGACAGCAGCACCCTTCAGGAGAACAAGAAGCGATTAAAGGCCGTGGTGAAAGACCTGATCCCTGAAGACCAGATCCACCGCACCCAAGTCATAAATCAAACTCTCAATCCTGTGTGGAATGAGACATTTATACTGTAGGTCTCCCCCTCGTTTCTTCCTTTCCCTTCTCTGATGCCTTAGCTATCTCCTCTTTGCTAGCCCGGACAATTGGCAAGGAATCTAGGCCCAAAGTTTGGTCTTTGGGATTGACATAACCTGGGAGGTAATGTGGGCTAGTGGTTAAGGCAAGACGAGAGGGGGTGGGATTACAGGCCAGGAGACTGCTACAAACATAGGCCTCTGCATGCTCAAAAGTGTAGACGCTCCTGTGTCATGTTTAGCCCAGTGAAAAAATTGGAGATGGTGGACAAGTGAGGGGGGGGGTGTCTGCATTTAGCTCTTGGGTGGGGGGGTCTGCATTGCAAAACCAAAACTCTCTGGATCTGAGTCTGTGCCCGGGTCTGCAGACTGTTGGGTTCATGCTACAGTGTTGAAAATAGCCATCGCTGTTCCGGCTAGAGCTTAGACCCTGAGTATGAATGTCTATAGCAGTGTTCCCTGTAAACTAAGCACATGGGTAGCCACCCAGGAGAGATTTGGGTGCGGCCCAGCTGATTAGTAGAGCTCCCACAGCCAGCAGCCTGTGTTTCTACTGGTGGTCCACAACCACACTTGCCTCGGTGCACATAACAAAATGTATTCTGCACATAGATGGAAAAACGTTAGAGGGAACATTGGACTGTGTGGCTGTTTTTAGTGCCCTAGCACAAGTCTGTAGGCCCAGGCTCTGAGACTATCTGATGTGGGGGCTTTAAAAAAAATTTGCAGGGGGCATCTGGCCAACCAGGCCAGTACACCAGATTTACTGCAGGGATTAGACTTCCTGGGCTTGTCCGTCAATAATTTTACCCTGTGTCTTCCATAATTGGCAGACGTGTGGCTTCTCTTTTGGTATTCTTGGGCAAGCCCAAAAACTCTGAGGGTATCTGCCAAAGGCTGCCCCCACACTAGGACGCAGAACAGAAGCTGAGGATTTGGAACATATTGTCCGCCCATAAGCCTGGGAGTGCCCCGTCTGAACTGGAGAGCAGTTGTGAGGGTCCAGCTGTCTCTGTTCATTGATACAAACCTGCACCCCAGCACTAGACTGTTGCTAGCTCGGGAGAGGGGGTTGCCTGCCTTTAAGCTCTCCCTCCCTTTCTAATATGTGACCTGCGTGCAAACTCTCTCAGCGTTCCAGGAATAATGTTTTCTGATTCTGTGTCCTGCAGGGAGTTTGATGATGAAACAAATTCCAGCTTCCACCTGGACATGTGGTGAGTGTGACTGAGCGTAGCGGGGCTTGAACATGCTATTGGAACTATGTGTACTGTTTCCACATGGGCTTTACAAATGCATCTCAAGCACGTTCACTTCTGTGTGTGATGGAAATTTTTTTCCCTTCAGGTTAGTTGAGTTGTTTGATTTGCTTTAATTCCAGAAACCAATTTTTTGTCTGAAAGTGACTGTGAAGCAAGCCAAAGGCATTCTGGGTAAAGATGTCAGTGGTAAGTGTGAATAAATGTTCGACGTACAGATATATGTACCTACCTGGTCAGAGGAGGTTGGAGTGCTGGGTTCTGTTCTCACATCTCCTGCTGCATCGGTATGTTTGACCTGAGGTAAGGTAGTTACCCATCGGTGCCTCAGTTTCCCTAATTGTCCACGCCCCCAAGAGGCAGGCTGGCTATTGACAAAAGGCTGGCGGTTGCCTTTTGTCACAATAGATATTTCTGTTGGAGGAACTGTGTTTTGATGTCTTGTGGTTGTAGGGTTCAGCGACCCATACTGCCTGCTGGGGATAGAATCAAAGAGGCAGGAGCCTTCCGGTGACAGCAGCACCCTTCAGGAGAACAAGAAGCGATTAAAGGCCGTGGTGAAAGACCTGATCCCTGAAGACCAGATCCACCGCACCCAAGTCATAAATCAAACTCTCAATCCTGTGTGGAATGAGACATTTATGCTGTAGGTCTCCCCCTCGTCTCTTCCTTTCCCTTCTCTGATGCCTCAGCTATCTCCTCTTTGCTAGCCCGGACAATTGGCAAGGAATCTAGGCCCAAAGTTTGGTCTTTGGGATTGACATAACCTGGGAGGTAATGTGGGCTAGTGGTTAAGGCAAGACGAGAGGGGGTGGGATTACAGGCCAGGAGACTGCTACAAACATAGGCCTCTGCATGCTCAAAAGTATAGACGCTCCTGTGTCATGTTTAGCCCAGTGAAAAAATTGGAGATGGTGGACAAGTGAGGGGGGGGTGTCTGCATTTAGCTCTTGGGTGGGGGGGTCTGCATTGCAAAACCAAAACTCTCTGGATCTGAGTCTGTGCCCGGGTCTGCAGACTGTTGGGTTCATGCTACAGTGTTGAAAATAGCCATCGCTGTTCCGGCTAGAGCTTAGACCCTGAGTATGAATGTCTATAGCAGTGTTCCCTGTAAACTAAGCACATGGGTAGCCACCCAGGAGAGATTTGGGTGCGGCCTAGCTGATTAGTAGAGCTCCCACAGCCAGCAGCCTGTGTTTCTACTGGTGGTCCACAACCACACTTGCCTCGGTGCACATAACAAAATGTATTCTGCACATAGATGGAAAAACGTTAGAGGGAACATTGGACTGTGTGGCTGTTTTTAGTGCCCTAGCACAAGTCTGTAGGCCCAGGCTCTGAGACTATCTGATGTGGGGGCTTTAAAAAAAATTTGCAGGGGGCATCTGGCCAACCAGGCCAGTACACCAGATTTACTGCAGGGATTAGACTTCCTGGGCTTGTCCGTCAATAATTTTACCCTGTGTCTTCCATAATTGGCAGACGTGTGGCTTCTCTTTTGGTATTCTTGGGCAAGCCCAAAAACTCTGAGGGTATCTGCCAAAGGCTGCCCCCACACTAGGACGCAGAACAGAAGCTGAGGATTTGGAACATATTGTCCGCCCATAAGCCTGGGAGTGCCCCGTCTGAACTGGAGAGCAGTTGTGAGGGTCCAGCTGTCTCTGTTCATTGATACAAACCTGCACCCCAGCACTAGACTGTTGCTAGCTCGGGAGAGGGGGTTGCCTGCCTTTAAGCTCTCCCTCCCTTTCTAATATGTGACCTGCGTGCAAACTCTCTCAGCGTTCCAGGAATAATGTTTTCTGATTCTGTGTCCTGCAGGGAGTTTGATGATGAAACAAATTCCAGCTTCCACCTGGACATGTGGTGAGTGTGACTGAGCGTAGCGGGGCTTGAACAGCGCGCGGTCTGTGTGCAGAAACCCTGATCACTTGAACAGGGCCCTGAGAGCATCACTCCTTGAACCTGCATCCTCACAGATCCCTATGTAAACAGGGCCCTGAGAGCATCACTCCTTGAACCTGCAGTAACAGGTCCCTGTGTGGAACCCCAGTAACATCCCCAGGTCCGGGTACTCCACTGTCACTGGTGTCACAGAGTGCACGCGCGGTGCTGTTGGATCAGAGGAGTAGTGTTCCGCATTCACTTTGCACGGGGGCCAAGGATTGCATGAGGTGCAAAGTTATGGAGACTCCAGCCTTGAATTTCCATGCAAAGGTTATAGCGAGGTGGGAGCCGTATCGGTGCACAGGAAATAAAGACCCTTTGCATTCATCCCAGTCCCCATGCCCTGAGTCTGTGTAATCTCTGCAAAGGTGTCGTGCAAAGACTTTTTCAAACTTGGGCTTGTGCCCTGTTGCCGGCTTTATGATGTACGAGGAGGGCCTTGAATTGTGGGAGGGGGAGCAAGCTTCCTGCCCCAGTTGCTGCAAAACCTCTGCTCTCTCTTTTAGTACTGCAGGGTTTTGTACTATCCTCAGCATGATATTGTATCTGGGCATCATCTCACCTCTCCTACCACCTGATTTTCTGCCCTTCCGCAATGGAGTGACTTTCCTGCGGCCCAGTGGAGTGCGCCGGGGGGAAGGGGAAGGGACGACTCTCCCTTAGTCCTGAATTTGCTCCTTGGCAAACTAACACCAATGATGTGTTGTCAACGCACACTCCTCATCTGCTGTGTTTCTGACCCTCCCCTGCAGGGACATGGATGCTGTGGAATCTGTGCGACATAAGCTGGGAGAGCTGACGGACCTCCATGGCCTGAAGAGGTGGGTACTGGGGAGAGGTGGCCGGGCTGTCTGACCCAGCTCTGTTAGCAGTTCATGCATCTGAGTGCAGCGCTAAGGTCCTGGTTCCGCATGTGCTTGCGAGGCTCCCCTGCTGAGTTTGGGGGTGGGTGTCAGACCTTCGCTCTGCTGTGCTGCAGGCATGGGAGCAGCTCTGCAACATGCTCGTCATCCCCTTGTGCGGTGGGTTGCTCCTTGACTCCGAGGTCCTGTTCTTCACTCTAGTTCATCCTCATCTGCAGCAGTAATGTCTCCTCTTGGAGGTAGAATGAGCAGCCTCCTCTGAGCATGTGGCTTCCCTGGAGATGTGTTGGGAGAGTGGCAGATAACTCCCTTTCCCAGCCCAGCACCAAATAGGTCACTACAGTGATGGGCCTGATGTACTCCAGCCTGGAATCCAGAGGTATTGGACTAACAAGGCCCAGCATGCACACAGCAAGAGACCAGGGCACGTGGAGATGGAAGTCTGGGTGTGGCAAGGACTCCGGTGACATGCAGCTCCTTTCTGGGCCACAGCTAGGCCACAGCTTCCTCTTCCCACTCAGTTCTGCCATCATGTAGGGCGTGTCTGTATGACAGGAGCACCACATGCCCTGGCTCGTGCTCCTGGGTGTGCATCGGCCAACCCAGCTGCGAGAGTCCACGTGTCTGCAGAACACACACCAGGTTAGCGGTGCCCACACTGGTGCTGCAGCCAGAGTTCCTGGCACCTCTCCTCTCTGGGGATTGTTTTGTGGTGCTGGAGTTTGTGGGAGAACTTGTCTGTCTTTCCTGGAGCCCTTTGTGGAAGTGGCTTTAGCCCTTCCATAGCTTTAGCTGAGGTGCTTCTCGTGGTGTTCATGTCTCTCCCTCCCAACCCTGGGACGAGCCAGGGCTCTGTCAGGGCACAGGTCAAGGCTCAACACACGCTTTGCCCCATACCTCCAGACTAGCCAGCTCAGGCACTGTGTTCCCCTAAATACACGAGTGGATTCTAGAGAGGTTGGGCAAAGGCATGCAATACAGGCATGCCCATAGTGACATAGAGCCAGTGGCAATGTTCCCTCAAATCTTTTCCATCCATGTGCGGATTTTTTCCATCCCTGTGTGAAATAAATTTTATGTGCACTGAGGCATGTATGAATGTGCACCACCAATAGAAGAAAACTCTAACTATGGGCACTCTGCTAATTAACTGGGTGGCACTGGAATCTCTCCTGAGTGGCCACACAAATGCACCGCTTTCGGGGAACAGTGGCCAGTGGTCTCCAAATTCCTGACTTCCAGGGGCCCCTGGGAGACCAGGGGCTCATGTCTTGGGCCACAGCTCATCTTCATATTAAGTGACTCCGTTTGCATACTGTTGGAATGTAAAATAAGTCCCGAGGACTGAGTGTTTGTGATCCCTGCAACCAGACTGTTTCCAGCTCTGCAGGCACTTTGCATCCACCAGTACAAAGAAAAAGCTGAGAAAGTGCCTGACCATTTGCTTCCCTAGTTTCACAAGTGCCATTTCAGATTTTGGTTGGGAGGGGGGCATCTTTAAACGTGATTCTAGGGGCTACTTAGGCACTTGAAAACCCTAGTTTTCTGGCATATAATTTAATAGTTAGTTGGCAGGAGAATGTGTGTGTGTGTGGGGTAGGTTGTTGTTTGTTTTTTTCTTTTGAAGAACTCCTCCCTAGTCTTGCCCCAGAGCAATGATTTAAATGAAGCATGAACATTTTTTCATTTTATTTTCCAAAAAACAAAAATTAATTGAATTAAGGACTCAAGCAATGCTGGATGCATCTTCTAGTTGCTTATATAATGGCTCAGCTCTAATACTAACATGTTCTGACATCTTGTGGCAAAGTCATTTAAGAGACATTGTTAGGTTTAAAATTGTAATAAATATTCTTACTTTGTTATTAAATCTGCAGGGAGAGAGCGAAACTGTCAGAACTCCTGGGTTCTAGCTCAGCTGTGGTAGGGGAGAGGGGTCTAGTGGGTCACAGCAGGGGCAGCTACATCTGGGCTAGATGGACCACTGACCATGTCCTGGGCCCCAGGCATTGCACAACCTGGAGAAGTTTTGCACTCCTGGGCTATAATTTTCTTATTTCACCCAATTGATTTATATCTTCTTTTCCAGGATCTTTAAGGATGCTCGGAAAGATAAAGGGCAGGACGACTTCCTGGGGAACGTGGTTCTTCGCTTGCACGTGAGAGCGGGGGCATAGGATTGTAATAATGCTCTGTTGTTCTTTAGCATCTTTCCTCTGAGAATCTCAAACCATGTCACAAGCATTCATTTGACCTCCCAGGGGCTGAGCAGCACTGACAGAAAGTGACACACGTGACAGAAAGGTAAACTGAGGCTCTCAGCGCCAATCAGCAGCAGAACCCAGATCTCCTGAACTGGATCCTGTGCGCTCGCTGATAGACCACACTTCCTTAAGGAAGTGATGACTAAGTGGGGCTGGTGGCCTTTGCTAGCCTGTTGCAGGTCATCAGTCCCTCAGGCCAAGGTAATTCTAGTGCAGTTCTCAGCCATATCGTAAATCAGCAAGAGTATGTCTACGCTGCATCCCTAGTTTGGACTAGGGATGCAAATGGAGACGACCGAAGTAGTTAATGAAGCAGGGATTTAAATATCCCATGCTTCATTAGCATGATCTCGCTGGCACGTTAGTTCGAATCAGCTGTGATTCGAACTAGCGCGCCGGCGAGGTCATGTTAATGAAGCGCGGGATATTTAAATCCCCGCTTCATTAACTACTTTGGTCATCTCCATTTGCATCCCTAGTCCGAACTAGGGATGCAGTGTAGACGTACCCCAAGGATTATTGCTTGTGATTGAAGCAGAGGTGTATAACACCTTTGCTGCTGGTGGAATTTGTACTGAAAAACAAGAGTAATTTAAGAAACAAGGAAAAGCACCCCCAGACCAGGGGTTATTTTAAAAATTAAGTATAAATGTTAATTGTCAAATATTAACTCCATATTAACTTGATGGATCCTATTCTCTAAATGGGGATCACCCTATTGCTGATGTTCCAGTGTTTGACATCCATCCATCTGTCTGTCTGTCTACAGGAACTGCACTGCAGGAACGACCATTGGTACAACCTGGAGCCACGGACGGAAACCTACCCTGACCGGGGGCAGTGCCACTTGCAGTTC